CGGTTATTCTTAATAACGTTTTTTTTTAACTGTCCTAATGATATTCAGACATTTATAGCTTAGTCACGTCGCATTATACAATCTAGGAAAAAATCATAAAAATGGATTTGGTTTAGTCCCTTTCTGTGTTCTATATTTTATAATAAACAACTGCACGGATGGCGAAGTGGTTTGCGAGTAAGTGGTCTTCACGCCGCTTACTACTACGATAAGTGTTATGGGTTCGATCCGCACACTTGATCCACAAATTGTGGTTCTGAGTCTGGGTGTTCTTTGTGTCCGTTTCATGTATGTTTGTAAAGTCCCTCGCGACACAGGATATATTCCTAATGAGGGAGTTGTCTTTTCAAAAAAAAGACAAATAAGCCTACATCTTGTCAATCTATCTTATCTTAAGACGTAGTCATTTTGATAGATTGTTTTACTTTAAAACCCTAAAACAGTTTGACAATGAAAAATAAAAGAATACAATATTATGCAAGTTAGAAAAGTCCATTATTCCAATCAAATTTTTGAATTTACACCGAACATTCTCCAGTTTATTACAACGCGTTAAACACTTGAAATATTCGAAAGAACGTACGTAGGTACTGTAAAATGCGTCCTATCACATAAGGTGCTTTTATTTTACCAGATATATTAAAGTTTTAAAGTTCTGTGTTCTGACGGATTAAGAATACGGTGTGTCACCACCCCTATTCATCCCGTGGGTGTCGTAAGAGTTGACTAAGGGAACAAACTAAGTACGCACGGAGGACAACTGCAAAGAGAAGGAAAACTTGAAACAAACCCTATTCCAACCCGTCTGGCCAGCGTGGTATAGTAGGCCAAAATTTCCTTTCTAAGGAGAGGCCTGTGTCCAACAGTGGACCATTAGAAGCTGTTGATGGTTAAAATTTTATGATATCTTATTCATACTTCTTCCTAAACTTTTACAAAAAAGAGACTGTTTTTAAAAGAATTAATTCCTCATACCCGCTATCAGGCTCAAAGTTTAGAAGTTTGTTTACAAGTTTTTAATAGATAGTGTATGAAAGCGCCTTTGTGAGCGTTAAACTCGTTGGCTTGTGGGCGTCCCCTACAGTACTGAGATTCTTTTGAACTTTGCTATGACACTAAAACCTACTGATATTATATAAAATTTAAATAACTTTTGAGATTCTTGCAAATGTATCTGCCGGAAAAGAAGATTTATTAGTTCAGGGAAGGAGCAAGGAATCGTGGCACCAATTTCTTTTAAATATTTTGTAAGGGGGATAAAACTTTTCATAGCATTGAAGAAGAATGTAGGAAATTAGGAATCAGAATCTACATATGTCTGAATCTCTGAATAGAAATCAAAGTGCTCTTCCGGAGACTTTGAAAGTTATTTACACAGACATGACATGATATCGCGCCAAGTATTTTCAGAAAAGCCGGACAACAAACTTTGCAAATAACTATCCGGCTACTGCCTCATTATTTGACTTGGAACATACGTTGCGGTTTTGGGTAACGAAATATCTAGGCATAGGCATCGCTATCTAAGTACATAAAATATTCAAAGCATATTTGGTCTAGATCAAAACAGCTGTAAGCTTGTTAGCTAAGCTTATAATATTTTCGTCGTGAGGATATTTAGTACAATTAATTCTGAAGGTGCTTAGTGATGCATATTTTTTTTTTCTTTTTACGTCAAAATAAAAGAGCGTGTTCCCACCTCAAAAGTCGGCAGCGTTCTTGTGACTTCAGTAACTGTCCATGGTCAGTAGTCAATTTCCATCAGGTGACTAATTGGCTGGTTTAACCCAAATATCAAAAGAAAGTATATATAAAAATGAAGATGACAGAGTAAAAAGTGCTACATCTTTCCGTTTAAGTGAAAAACGTTTCAGAAGAATAATTCATTATTTTTCCAATACTAATACAAACACCGTATGCACTACTCGGTGCATCATATTATTACACCAATAATAGTCATAGTATTTTGGTTATTAATGCTTCACATAACACAAATAGTATAATTGTTGATTTATACCCAGTAGTTCCATGAAGCCAGTTCCACGTGGAACTTTAGCAACCTACTAGTTCCACACATGGAACTAGTGAGAGTAGCTATTGGAAGCAGAAAATTTTACCTATTATTTCCATGAAGTCAGTTGCGATAAAACTTGTGGTATTATAAGACATGAAACCTTTTTCCTTGTAGTCTTGTACAAACAAATCATTTTCAGAAGAATATTTTAATCTACGCTTCATATTCATAGCAACAAGAATATGGACTTTTTCATACAAACTTCAAATACTTGCTACGCAGCTCCTTTGAGTAATAATGTGATAAAATGTACACCATATTTTATCTAGGACTACATTTAACCTAAAACCAATGTTTCACTCAAATCCGTGCACCGGTACAGTAGACAGACAGACAAGATTAGGAAAAAATATTTTTGGCATCTATTACACATACGAAGACTCCTTGTCGCATTTTTTATTTATGTTCATGCAAAATATAATCTCTTACTGTTGTTATTGTAATATGTATAGATAGTGCTTAAAAAGGGTATATCAGTACCATGTGGAACTGGCTGCATGAAACTACCTGGAATAAACTAAACTAAGAGTGGCAAAAGAAAGTTCAAACGCGACATTTTTGTTTTCCAATGTTGTGACATCTTCACATCACATGGAGGAAAGAAGAACACGAATTAAAACACCACGATAAATTCCTTTAAAAATTGCCTTCATTTTTACATAGCGATATCCCCGACAAATGTTAAGAATCGTTAGTGTATAATTGTATTATTTTTTACCTTAGATCTAGCATATCGAGGGTTGTTTAAAGTAACGGGAATTAATTTAATAATTAGCAATTCTTTGTTCAAATTTTAAAGGCTGAGTCAAAAAACATTTGGAAACTCTTAAGAGTCGTTACTTTGCCACGGCTAGGTGGCCAAACGGTTAAGCCAAAAACTTAAGCCAAACGGTTTTAGCCACAATGTCTTTATTGCATGGCTTTAGGTTTATACTCGATAAGAAATCCTATGATTCCTAAGAGATTTGGCTGAATGTTAGAAAACAGGTGACTCCAAAGTAGTCCTTAGCTTAGGTAGCCTTGGCCCGTGTCATAAGAGAAACGCGTGGCACTCAGTTTCGCCATCTTGGACCAGCTTCTGCTAGGGTGACCAATAGCCGTGTCTATCGCCCTCGGTTGAAAACTCATATACAATTAGGTGAAAACGAACTATGCCCATTTATGTAGTACATACATTTACACATCAAATTAGGGAAAAGATAAGAAAGGAAGATGTCCCGTAATACAATTAGATCTGGATCCACTTCTTTTCTGCTGTCCTCCCGGCAAAAAGTAGCTACCGATTGCACAAGATCGCGATAAGTAGAGAACAATTGACAGACGTCTATTAGGAGACGTATGTGTATGTGGACTTCTTCAATATACCCCTATGCATGGCCAGCGAATGAACATACATTTTGAAAATAATTATTGTTAGATATATATATATTATAAATGTGAAAGTGAGTTGGTTTGTTTACCTAAAATACTGAACCTATTTTAAAAATTCTTCATGCTACTTTTACCTCGATAACCGACATCCACGCGGATGAAGCCAAAAGTTACTATAATATATTGCGGGACCCTTGTAAATGTAATATTTATGATCTTGACTGTACATAATGTCGGTTTAATATACCAGTTGTTTTAAAATAGGTTGTTGTTGTTATCAGTTATCTTATCTATTTAAGTAACCAACAAGCTATAATTACTACAAAACAATAGAAAATTAAAACACAATGAAAATGCCGACGTAAATAGTTATTGATAAATCTGTTACTTTTATGTCATCGTTTTGTCGTCTTCAATGTTTCTTTGACTTAATTAATATTTTTTGTTTTCTTTGTTGTACTCGCTACCAAAAACGAGGAAAGTCATACACAAGTTTATTTTTGTCTTTGAGCCCATTTTGTCTAAGAAGTAACTGTGAGCCAAATGTCTTACGTTTGTAATCTATTTTTACCGCTATATATATATATATATATATATATGTATATATATATATATATATATATAAATATATATATATATATATATAAATATTTTGACAACACAATTCAGCACTTTTACCTATAAACATTGTTGACATTTTTTAAGACTTTTTGACTAACAAGGCGTAGTTTGGGCCGAAAATCGGTTTTACACCAATGGCTCTTAGACTTTTTCTAATTCCTGACCTAAACGAAGCAGGTGCTGGATAGTTACTGGTACAGGTACCATGTCCGGTAAGTACTATGTTATCCATGAGAGCGACAAGTTGCCTCTCCAAACAAATCTTACATAAAGGGACGCCACGATCGCGGCGTGAATCAGCCTTATGTTTAGCGAAAGATTATTAGAGATTTAGAAATTACGTTAACCTCAAAAGGAGCTGACACCCTACATCACTCGACTCGGATCCATCTACCGTATATTCAAAGTCGTTTGAAAACATTTTGATATTATTTACAGTCAGTTTCATTCGCATATTACACCTGCGGATTTGACAAAGTAGTCAATTAAAGGGTTTATTACACTTGAAACAAAGGAAAAGCGGTGATAACAGAAAAAGGAAAAGTTAATGAGCGTGTTGATTCGTACATAAAGCCTCTAAAGTGCTACTTAGACACGGCCTTATTACACCTACTAAATTGGTTCATTCATAATCACGCGAATAGCTTTTTCACCTTTCTTTTGTGCATGTGTGAACCCCTTCGGCGCGTCACGTGTAACTAAAACCATACGGTATGCCATACAGCGCGGCAGCCTAAAATAGGCATGTTGTGAATTGCAACAGCTTGTACTTGTCTTATATGTATTATAATTGTATTATCACATTACTTAGCTAAAATTATCTGAAAATAAATACATATTTAAAATAACCCAATCGATGCCAAATTTACTTTGAACACTCTTGAGTTCAAAAACCCTTTATCAAAGTTTTTAATTGTGACAATTCTACCTCCAGATCCTCCCGGGACAAAATGAGATGCCATATAAATGGGCAGCCTACCTACTGTTTCACATGCACTTCGCGCAGATCTTCCACACGGCGTCGATATGTCTAACACTATCACTAGCTGTTTGGAGATACGTTGCTATTAAGTAAGTATATTTTAATAAGTAACTAAAATATTTTTCAAACGAGAAATGAATCAACAATCTTTTTGTTCCTTACCATGTCGTAGCACTTGAAACGTTCGTGGATTATATAATAACATAACACAGAAGAGTATGTATGCGTGTATAGCATATAAAGATACAACTGAGGAATTAACAAAGTATCAATTTGATGAAATTGATAAAATATATATTTCGTTGGGTTTATAATTTTGCCAAAAACTTAACTGCAGGTTTTATTTCAGATCTAAAATGAAGAGAGAATGATCAAATTGCTCAGAAGTATAATAATTTTAAAAGCTGTGTATTTTTTACATATTTTTATAATAAAAAAAAATGATTTCGTCATTTAGGCAAATCAGAGATTATTTATGAAAATTTTAAAAATTACGTTTAATGTAGGTATACACGTACACTGAAGACCCGCCCGACTGCCATGTTAGCACTCAGATAACATCCGATTTGTTACCTACTATCTTGTAAATAACTAGGGCCACATATGAATGAGCCCTTCGGGTAAAGTCGATGGAGTTGGAAGGTCTTAATACACGATTGACTTTTAAGAATTTTGACGATTTTCGATCGACCTTACGGTATTGAGAAACTCGATTTATAGCAAAACGGAAATCAGTCCATTGAACACAGTACCAAAATTATACGGTAGAAATGTTTAAAACAAGCGGTATGTTTAAAGCAGCTTTCATTTAATTTCAACCTGTTATTGCACATTCTGGGAAGAATTTATGTTATACTTATGAACTAATCTATGATTACAAATAAATGCAGATTTTGTACCTAAAAATAATAAGAAAAGAAACTACGTCGTAACCACACGGTTGCGGATTAAGAATACGGAGTGTTACCGCTCCTATTCATCCCGTCGGTATCGTAAGAGCAAACTATGCAGGATAACAGCATTGCAAAAAGAAAGAGAACTTAACACAAACCCTATATCAACAAGTCTGGCCAGCGTTGCACAGTAGGCCAAAACCTCTTTACTAAGAAGAGGCCTATGTCCAGCAGTGGACTATGATGTAACTGTTCATGATGAAAGTATTAAGATGAAAGTATTGATCAAAGTATTAACGCAATATTAGATGACTGTGTTCCAAAAAAACAGCGAAGGCATGTAAGCTCGAAGTACAGTTACCCCGAGTTTTACACAGCTGAAATAATTCGCAACATACGACATAAGGCATTTCTGCACAAGCGTTATAAAAAAAGCGGGGCAAGGTCTGATTACGAGGCGTTCGCTCTGTGTAGGGCTAATGTAAAAAAGATGATTCATAACGCGCAACAACAGTATAGTGAACGAGTGCAACATCAATTGTTAAAGAACCCTAAATCTTTTTGGAGTTTTATTAAATCAAAAAGAAGTAATAGAAATCCAAACAGAATATTAAAAAACGGGGAGATACTTTCGGCAGAGCAGTGCGCGGTAGAATTTGCTCAGTATTTTCATTCAGTTTATTTAGATAAAAGACCTGACTTGAATGTTAGTGCTGCGATAGCAGAAGCAGGCGGCGAGAATGGAGCGGCACGTATTCACCTGGAAGAATTACAGCTGAGTGAGGTAAGGCGAGCTCTACAGCAACTTAAGCCGAAGAGGTCCGCGGGGCCGGATGGCATCCCCCCTTACATATTTAGGGACTGTGGGTCGGTGTTGGCTGAGCCATTGCTGCACATCTATAATCGGTGTCTTAAAACTGCTGTGTTTCCCGAGAGATGGAAAACAACCCGTGTCGTGCCAGTACCAAAGGGGACGCTAGGAGATATAATCGAGGGTTATAGACCGGTAGCGGTACTGTCATCACCCGCAAAAGTTTTGGAGTCAGCTATCCATAAGACAGTTTTCTCACAGGTTCAAGCGCAACTCTCGGAGGCTCAACACGGGTTTAGACCAAGGAGGAGCACCACCAGTAACCTCCTGAGCCACGTGACGTACGTGGTGCCAACGGTGGACGAAGGGGGGCAGGTAGATGCGGCATACTTCGACTACAAAAAAGCATTTGACCTAGTCGACAATGACACGCTTCTCAAGAAGTTAGCTGGCGTCGGTTGCACCCCGCACTTGCTCAGGTTCTTTGCCAGTTACTTGAAGGATAGGAGGCAGTATGTGGAGTATGCGGGACATGTTTCGGCGCCATATTTTACGTGGTCAGGTGTAAGTCAGGGAAGTAACCTCGGACCCCTTCAGTTTATTATCATGATAAATGAGCTGCCAAAGGTCGTGGAACACGCGAAATGCTTGCTGTTTGCGGACGATCTCAAGTTATCGTTACCTGTAAATGGTAGGGATGACTGCGGGCGTCTGCAAGAAGACATTGATAGGGTAGTGGCATGGAGTAGTGATAATAGATTGAAATTTAATCTTAATAAATGCGTGACTATCACTTTTTCACGCGCTCATGCCCCTATCATTTTTAGTTATAGTATTGAGGGGGTGCCTATGACTAGGGTCACAGAAGTCCGAGATTTAGGAGTTATTTTTAACACAGAGCTAACGTTTCGTAATCATATTGTCAAGTGCTGTAAGAAGGCTTTTAGAAATTTAGGTTTCATATTACGTACCTCTCGAAATTATGAAAATATTAAAGCAATTGTTGCTTTATACAATGCACTGGTGAGGAGCCAATTAGAATGCAACGCAGTCATATGGGCTCCACATGAAACTAAATATAGTCTCATGGTGGAGCGTGTACAAAATAAATTTATTAGATTTTTATATTTACGTCTATACGGAGTGTATCCCTTCTACCCACTCATGTATCCAACTCTGTTTGTTCTAGGCATGGTTGGATACAGTGAGTTGAGAGTCAGAAGGGAGTTTATGCTAGTAGAATATATATTTAAAATTATTAGAGGTAGGATACACAATGCAGATATATTGGGTTTGGTAAGGCTATGGGTGCCGGATAGGTACGTCTGGCGCCGGCGCCGGCCCCGGCTGCTGGTGGTGCCAAGAGGGCGTACCAATCTTCTAAATGAGGCGCCTCTGTCTCGGGCGCTCCGCACGCTGAATATCGTTGCGGAGGAGATTGACATATTTCATTGTTCGCTGAGTGAATTCACTAAAGTAACAATATTTACAATATGTTATAAAGAAAATTAAAATTTGCTTCGCTATTGCATTGGGTTTGTAACCTGTAAAAATAGATGTAAGTTTGGTTATAAATAAATAAATAAATAAATAAATAAATAAATGATGATTGTAAATATTGGAGTTTTTATTAGAATTTAAACCATTGTCAATTAAGGACGTGAAGTTTACGTGCTTGTATTCCATCACGGGCGCATCTAAAACACGTCGTAGTAATAAGATGGGCACTCATGCCTACAAAACGTGTGTTTCATACTTAAAGTATCAATATGCTAGTTTATTCAAACCTTAAACTTAAACTTAAACTTAAACATTTCATCAAATCGATGTTATCAGTTATTAGAGAACTTCACCAGTTTATAATGGTATTGAGCAAAGCCACGTCTATTTTCAATGTTATATTTTCCCGAAGTTCTTATGTATACTTTTTTTTTTTAAATGGAAGCGAGCAAAAGCATTGCCTGAGGGAAAGCGACAAATTAATTATTTCAAATAATTTAAGTACCTTTTTTTGAGACACTTAAGTTGATTAATATATTAATGCAGGAGGTATCATAAAGAAAATCTTAGTTTGCTTGGTCGACTTGTCGAGAAACAAACAGCTTTGAACTACTTTAGCTATTCCATTCAAATAGAAACAAGTAATTGAAGTTTCAAACTTAGAGATATACACGTACTTCTAACAAATATGACAGGGTTATTAATAAAAAACCCAAGTATCACATAGGTGCTTATGAGGAAATGAAAAAACATTTCTCATGTGTAATAAAAAATGATATCCTAAAAATTCATAGAATTTAAAAAAATGAAAACTTCATACTTCAAGAAAAGTTGTTACAAATTCGGAGAGTTAGCATAGTCTACAATACATTGAAACGACTGTTGGATTGTTTACGTTGAAACTTATGAACAATTCAAGCTCACGGAATCCTACGTTGGTTTATTGTCTCGATTAAAGCATGGATTTTCATAACAAGAAATTCTCACATAGCTGCTATTTTCATTTTCACAAAATGTTTGTAAGATCTTGGAGACTAGATTTACTTATTTTTTATGCACAAATATTATAAACTTAATGCCTAGACATTTTTTCCATTCAGAGCTAAAACATGGTAAATGCACAACAACACATAATAAATTGTAGAAGAGAAAGTATAAAATTAAGATAGATTTGACAAGGTGTTTAAGAAATGTTTCTGCAACAGGTAACGATTTAAAAGTTTGCCGAGTTTTTGCCATCCAGATCTCGAAAGGGAGCTCGTATCATAACATGATAGATTCTACTAAGAAAATAGAATGTGAAAAGTCCGAGCCTTGAGTGGGACAGTGCAGAAGTAGATTGTTTGAAGATTTAAGGTTTTTAAATATTGAAATTCAATAGAAAGGAGAAATGGAGGAAAGAGTAATGAACATAGGGTAATTAATGCTCGCGTCTGTCCGCGTTGGCGAATTGAAAGCCACTCCAAATAAGAGCGATGCTGAGACACGTGATCATATTTGCGTAAATCCTCTCTGGAATGACCTTCCTCTCGAGGTCAGGATGGCCACCAACACTTTCTTATTCAAAACTAAAGTGAAGGAGCAATAGTTGCAAGTCATCGGAATTTCATATCTTTTATCTTCTTCTTTTATGGTTTTGGGTAACTTATTGTTTATTTTTATGAACATTACAAATGGGCTGTATGAGTGCATTTTAGTGAGGCTGGTAGATTATGGCGTATTTTGTGTCTAAGTGTCAATTTGGTTTGTATGTTCTTTCTTTTGCTATAGAACTCTGGGTGCTGTCTATCACATTTACAGGTTAAAAAAATGTAGATAGGTTAAAATTTTAAGTTCGACAAAGTGAGGTTTAGGTAGGTAGCATTCTAATTAGGTTTTTCTGTGAAGTGAAAAGTGTAGGTGTATCTGAACTATTGCCGCATAGGATTACTGATTTATTTCTCGGAGGGCGTAAGTAAATTTTGAAATTTTGCCTTTTATACTTTGAATGTGCGATTTCCAATCAATATGTCTGTCTATGTCAATGCCCAATAGGGTGAATTTATTTACTACTTCTAAATTATGTGGGTAAAATGTAACTATTTTTGTTTTGTTGAAATTAATTTCCAGACTGTGTTCGGCCATCCAATTCGTTGTAACAGTAAGTATATAATTTAATTTATCATTAAGTTTATTGTTGTTCTCGCATGGGGTGAGTGATGATTATATGATATGTCGTCTGCAAACCAAAGACATATTTCGTATAATTTTTTTGGGAGATTTTGCATATGAGGGATGGGGGCGTTAATTGGCTTTGGTCTGATCAGATTAATTCTATTTCATTTGTTTTTTGGTTATTTCTACTAGTTACTCCCTATCCTTCAAGTATGATATAAACCATTGGAACCAAGGGATTCCTACACTATTGAAGTAGTATAATAATATATCAAATTGTTTCTTATCATAAGCTTTGGTCATTTCGAGCATTATTCCTGTTGCATGTTTTTTTTTACTAATTATATTCAGCTCTTCTTGAATAAATTTGAAAACCGCTAAAATTGTGGATTGATTTTTGCGGAACCCATTTTGGCTGTCGTTAAATATATTATTTTTCACAAGAAGCGTAAACAAGGTTACTCATAGTCTTTTCAAATATTTTTGAGGCTGTAGGCAAAATAACTTTAGTTATTCTCGGTTTAGTTCGGTTTGAATTATTCTCCCCAATAGAGGCAAAAAAGTCATTATAGATATTTGCTACCTTCTTGGGCTGTGTAGTTTGTTTATTATTTATTTGTAGGGTTTTATTATATTTTTCTCTTTTAACTTTTTTAGTTCTCTAGTTGATAATGGACCACATTGTATTAGTATAGGGTTCTTTTCGTGATTAGGATTTTTAATAACCTTTATTTTTGCATGAGGTTTTTAAACCCACAGTGATCCAGTGGTTTTTGTACTCAGTTTTAATTTAATTTTAGTTCAAGGTATACATTTATTCAGGATATTTATTAGTGTGTCATGAAACATTTTATAATTTTCATTTATGTTCTTATCAATTGTTATGATCTCATTCCACTTAAATATCTGTAAATCTGGTTAAAATTTTAGAATATTTTTATTATAATATATTATTTTTTGAGTGTACCAGATTGTTTGTTTAGTTTGTTCTGGTAAACTTAAATGAATTAAAGTACTATTATGGTCAGAGAAATTCAACTCTTTCACTGTCGTATACATATATATATCTTTAAAATTAGTAAATATCAAATCAATGCAAGTTTTAGCTGTTGAAGTAAGTCGTGTAGATGTTTTGATACGCTGTGCTAGTTTATAATCTAGCATTAAATTTAAGAATTGACTGGTTCTTGAGCTATTTTCTAAAATATTAACATTAAAATCGCCGCTTATGATTATATTCAATTTATTATTAATATATTTAAGTATTAAATTTAATTATTTATAAAATATTTCTAGAATATTATTATTATAATATGACGCACGCTTTGATTTTAAACTTATCACATTACACAAAAAAACCTAAAAGTAACGGGTTTTAGTAACTTCGAAAAACCAACTTCATAAACAAGTCGTGTTGCTCTGGATTCCAAAGTTTAAGATTACAATTATTTTCAAATGGTTTATCGGAATCACAAATTAAAAGCAAAGTTTCAATATCGTGAAAGGGCGGTCGATAGAAAAGTCTTGAAAGCGCCGAGAAACATGATCGTATTGAGGATAATTTTTTCGATTTCATTGTTCCCTGTTGAATCGGGAATTAGTCTGGCTTTTTCAAAAATATTTTCACTTGTCATTACTGAGTAATGTCATTTGATGCGACAGAGATTATTTGCAATAAATGAATGACTAAAAAAGCCCTTTACTGTCGGTTCAAGATAAGGCTGAGAACACAGAAGTGTTCTTAAGTACTGCTATTTTCTTATTCGGTCATCCTTATAAATTTATCAATTCTTAAAATAGGGCAGCCATGAAGTTTTATTCAACAGAAGGCAAAATTGTTTATCTACGTAAGTAAATATTATAGTTCTGGCCTAGTTCCAAATGATAATTGATTCTACATGGAACATATTTCTAAACCTATGCAATTTGAAATATTACTGTGAGTATCGAGGCAGTGTCAAAAAAATCATTCATTTTTATTTTCAGTAAAGTATAAGTACAAAATGTACTGAAAGAGTGACGCATAGTATTTATTTAAATCAAAGTTAAGCCAAGGCCAAAATGCTTCAATCGTCTCACTCACAATTTGCAGTGCAAATCGGAGCCTTTGAACACTCGACGTTTCCACTGAACCGTCGCGGTCACATGTGTAAACGTATACAGATGACCAGTAACTGGACAGATGAACAGTATTGCAATATTTTTCAATACCTTATACATACTATCGTAATAAACTTATTAATTTAGTAATACTAATAATGTGTACACAAACCGCAAAAGTTTAAGAAAAAATCACATACGTTTACACATTGAAAATATTCTATGAAATGTTTCGGAGTTAGGGAAAATATTAGAAATCTTAATTTATCAATATGGCGAGAATTCACGTTTGTGTCTGATACTCTTTCTTGAAGTCCTAGTACTATACGTGATTGAAGCAGCAAACAGAGTAGTTTTCAGAGCTGGTAGTTATTGCTAAGTTTATTAATAGTACGAAGGTTCTTTGTGCACAAAGTTCCAAGATCCTTTAAAAAAAGTAAAAGTGATCGCGTGTACCTACATCTTAATACGTTTAATTAAATAATTTAAACATACATTTCAGTTTCACAGTGAATATTGAATGAAAGTAATAATACATCATATACCGAGTCTGATTCCAATCATGTGAAGGCCTTCCAAATTAGGCAGAAACTAATAAAAACTTGAAATATCATCATCACCATCAATAGCCTTTAATAGTCCGCTGCTGGACACAGGCCTCTCCTTAAAACGGAGAAATTAATCATTGTATTGGATCCTACCGCAACTTAACCAGCAAAAATTTACAACATGTGTTCTAAATGAACTCGAAGTCCCTACTTGAAACATGATGAATTACGATGCTTACTGACCGTTTACAAAGCCAAAATTTACTATCTCTCTTAAAATAATTTTGATACGAGTTAACCACATATAGTAGTATTTTTAATAAAAATGTGGAATAGGAACTGTTCCTCAACTTCCTTACACCACAGATCAAAATTATTCACAGAAATTCTTCATAAAAATGTGATTTGATCTTCCCGGTACAACGTTGAAAACACCCTTAAGTTTTTCACTTTACAGTTTCCACTAGACTAATTGCTGTCTTGAAATGGCACTCAAAAGAAGATACTTTCGGTCTACATACTTTCGAAACGTCTATATCAAGTGTCAGAAGTACCCTGTATAATCGGCGAGTGAATGAGTCAGTGTCGAAATTAAAGAACGTTGACTTGCAATAGTTTTTAATTATGGGTTCAAATTACTTTCTTATTTTTTGTTACTTGACTTGCCAGGGTCAGTGTCATATACCCGGATATTATCTTTTATTGATACAGTGTAGTTGAAAAAATCCAATTTTCTTTTTGGAATACCGACAAATTTTTATTTATGATAAAAAACACGTTTTTAATACCCGAAACAAAAAGCCATTATGACCGTTAACAAAACACATGTGTTAAACTCCCTGATTAAGGTAAACATGATTTATATTTCATGGTTCACTGCTCGCTCCCTATTTTAATTCAGATACATATGACGTCACCAGCACTCGATCATGTATACTAAATACCTTTTCGGGTTTATAAATGGTTAATGTGGGCACACATTCACTATCTCCAAACAGAGATTTACTATCAAACAATCGACCACGTATGCAAAGAAAACTATAAAAAATATAAAAATAAGACTATTTTTTATTGCCTAAACTGCACATTGTAGACTTGCTTTATTAGTTAAATACGGCGGCTACAACAAGGTGTAACGTTATCGAAACGATAACCGGTTCAAAGATATGTACATTATCACACTATTAGGTTAATACTGGTTAAGCTATGTTTCAGGAATAGATACGGGTACATATCGCCATTGGCTACTATTTATCATATATCATTAAGTTGCCGAATCACATCAGCAACATATCAAAGCCTACCATTAAAAACTTATCGCAATTCCATAACTACTTACATACAAATTGTAGAAGATTATTATATTAAATCACATTGAAATATATACTGTACAAGATTGTACTTAGTAATGGTCTATTATACATATAATGTAAATCAGTATATTTTTTTATTTTACGTTACATGTATCATATATAATGTGATGTTAAGAAACATCACCATCGATTCCATGAGTTTATTGAAAACAAAGCCATTAAACTAATTGAATCACATTTTGTTACAGATACTCGGATAAAAACCACATTTTGTGTACTGAAAGGCGGTGCAGTACAGCGATACTCAGCAGCTTTATACTGCCGCCTATTTTATGCATTCCGACGTATATGGTATGTAATTCTTAAATATTGTAATACTATAAAAACATTGTTTTGCAGTTATTCCATTATCTTCATTTATTTTTTTTTGGTAAGGGTTTCGTGAAGTAGATTTTAGACAGAGGTTGTAACAGTGTTGTTAATTTCCCATGTAGCGAGAACTTTTTTTTGGTTAAAAAATGCCTTTTGCAGCATTGTATTTTCTACAGTATTGAAGAAAGTTGTCAAATAATAGGATATCATTTATTGACCACTTTAATTACATATGGCGGTAAATATTTGTAAAAACTTTCGTGGTTTTTAATACACAAGTATCATTTCAAAATTGAGAAATGGCACTAGAATATTTATTCAGTGTATCAGCAAAAAAAAAAATTGGAAGTATAATGTGTACAAAATGTTTTTAATTATTTTTTTCCAACCATAAATCACTTTAATGGATCTTCATTAGCGTTGGTCTTTCCGGAGGGTACTGGATAAACATCCGTATCCATGATATTATCCGATCTTGGTTTTATAATAAGTGTCGAGAAGCGTGAAAGGCTATGTTTGAATTTATGTTTTATTTGTTCAAACTCGCTTTCGCTCACCTAAGATTACAAGCTCCCACCGTTAGATTTATACAGTTTACAGTTTTATAGATATAGAAATTTACGAAATATGTACATGTAAATATAAATCAGCTTTCTAGCCGAGTAAGATAAGCTAAGCTAAATCAAATTTGTAATTAATGATGATTCACTGTTATTGCTGAATTAAATGATTTCAAATTAACAATACACAATAATTTTATGATAACGAATTAAGAAAAGAGGGTTGACATATTAATGAATAATCTCTTCGCGCTAGGAACAATCATCACTACAATTGTTTCTTTTAAATGCTGTATAGTCTTACTAAGATATAACCGTAGGAGAGCCATGTCAAATGTGCGACACAAATGACTCATCTCGGTCGGAGCGATACCATATACCATGGTATCACAGAAAACCTGTGTTGTCTATGTTGTAAGCCCTACGTTAAAACCCCAAACCTCCCACCCACAGATTTGTGACTCTTAAAGTGCAGGTGTATCATGGGCGGCGGTACCTATATTTTTGTGTAAATTTAGTTAGTCTGAATAAGAAATGTATAATGTCGGTTATCACTTTAAAAGCCTATGTCTTTCCTCCAGAATCAAAGTATCTCTATACCAAATTTCATCCTAATCGGTTCAGCGGTTATTGATTCCCCATACAAACTTCCTCCCCCCTTTTTACCCCTTTAAAGGGTGATTTCTAGAAAAAGCTACCCTATGTCCTTTCCCGGGACTCAGACCGCCTCTATACAAAATTTCAACTCAATCGGTTCAGCGGTTTAAGCTTGAAGGGGTAACAGACAGACAGACATACAGAAAGACAGACAGACACACTTTCGCATTTATAATATTAGTATGGATTACTTTGTACATTATGCTTACTAAGTAGGTAAGCAAGCACTCAAAATATTAAGTCTCGGAGTTCAAAGTAATTTTGTAACAGGCAAATGGTGAAATTTATGACTTATTCATTATATTTTAATAGACCGATGCATTAAAACATTAGTCACCAAAATGTAGCTTTCATGGGAATTATTTAAAGTGTTTAACTATTTTGCATATAAATTAATGGGTATATTTGTCGATATACAAAGCATTATTAATTTATGGGTTTACCCAAAGTTAAATTATTACATCTCTCTTTGAGTTCTTATAGTAGATTTCACATAATTAATAATGAACTAAACACATACGATTTCCTTTATTTTACACTTTCTGCATTACCAGTCCACCTTTAGATGGTTTAGTAAGGGACATGGCAAGTGCATATGTACCATGAAAAGAAGCTATGAACTAAACATTTATAAATATAAAATTGGAATTAATTGTGCTATTCAAAAGTACATAGACGAATACACAAATACATATTTATGTAATATACATACAAAATAAAATATATAGCATAAATATATACATTAATAATATCTGAGGTGACGAAATCAATATGTAGTAGGACTTCTTTCATTTTTGACTACGCGTGAAGAAAACAAAATGACTTGAAACTTGAGGGACCTAATAGTTTGTGTATTTTTGTTTAAGCTATGAATATATATTCTTGTTGTTCATTTAGTAAGAAGCTTATTTGCCTAATGGCTTTCTCACATTATCGCGTCTATGTATAGTTAGGTACTTATTTCATCCTATTATCCCGTTTTATGTGAAACTCGAGTTGTTTTCGGTTCAGTTTTCTTCCTGACACAGATTCTGAAAGTGTCATCCGATTCTTGTTAGTAAAATCTGATAATGCTGTGTATCATGTTATAGGAAGTTCTAAAACTGGATTTTTAATTTATTTAATACATATACAGGAAAAAGCTCCGGCCGCCTATTTCTACTATTTCAAGTGGACAACTTTATTCATTAGAACTGCGTGTAAGTTATATTTGAATTTGCAATGTGGATCTCGTGATCGCTAAGCTGTCCAGTGGCATTAAATTATCTTAAATATCTCAACACTAATTGTGCTAGAAAATAAAGAAATCAGAAAATGTTTTATAACAATGTTTAAATGACTAAGGTGTGATTGTAAGGGGCTTGTAAAGTTAGAAGCTTGGCTCTAAATGAGATCTGATAACCTTTTTTCACAGTGCGAGCCATATGGTCTCGTTTTAGCAACATTTTACATGAAAATGTTTTGGTTCGATTAAGTATATACTTTCGAATTGCCTGATTGGATTAAAAGGTATGTACTTAATATCTATCATATATTATTATCCCTTTGTTTTTAGGATGTAATTGGATACATATTCAGCTTTCATGCTAAAACTATATCTGACTCCTTTTTTCAATCCATACCGCGATTGCGTTTATTTCTGGTAGTTGTTTATACGATATAACTAGTATTTTTGTTCAACATTACAAAATAAACTGGAATATGTATAGATATTTTATAAATATACTTGTACAATAAATTTGTTAAGAAATGACTGAATAATAATAATATATTTTACTACATTCACACAACGCCATCTAGTCCCAAACTAAGCGGAGCTTGTACTATGACTACTAGACAACTGACATAAATACATATATACTTTTCTTTGTAAATACCTACATATGTATTTTACGCAGAAACACCCAGACCAAATCAAACATTAAATGTTTATGCACACAATTGTTTATGCACACACTTGAACGGGAATCAAACCCGCGACTTTTGGAATAGCAGTCCGTTAGACAAACCACTACGCCATCCAGTCGTCAAAATTATGTGAATCAATTATCTGCTACTGTCTAACAGTTTGGGATTTTTTGTAAATACATACATATTATACATAGAAACACCCAGACTCAATCAAACATTTCATGCACACAAATGTTTGACTTGAGCGGGAATCGAACCCGCGACTATGTTGAATGTATGATGATTTCTTTTCGGTATATCTTTTTTAGTTTTACAAAGTAAATATTTCAATCTTTCAACAACTTTTCTCCTTACAGTTATGGTTCTGTTCATCAAAAGAAACCAGTTCGTACGTAGTTATATCAATAATATAACTTACAATGTAACATTTATGACTACCTTAGATGATTTAAGAAAAAAAAAATGATAAAAAAAAGCTGCGAATATGTTCCTTTATTTGTCGAACATTATTTCACTGCAATAAAGGTATCGTTTGCTGCTAGCCTCCAGTGCTTTCAGAGTACTTTCCGATCTGTCGAAGCTGGAACACGAATTGGCGCCTGTGATATTACCGTGATTAACCCCAAATTCCTCTTACTCATTACTCAAAGAGGCCATGCCTCCATATTACGTTAAAGTAGCTGAAATGACGCTGTTTAAAATTAAAAATAGAACATCAAATTTTTACGGTAATACCGTAAATCTCCCGGGCTTCTTTCATATTACGTAAACCTGCATGTAAGTAGGGACGGATCGTAACGGGGATTTACAAAACGACAGCTGAACATCATAAATCATTCGGCTTTCCACCATATCCGATTTTTAGCATACAAAAATACTAACCCTACCGAAATTGTGTTAGATACCAAGAAAATTTCGATAAACCCCCATGTTGAATGTATCGTTCTAAGCCCTTATTATTGTAAAAGTTATCGAAGTGTAAAAAAATATAGAAAGCGTTCTTCAACGGATAAGTATTCTAGATGTCCATTCATCCGATGAACACAACATGCATTATACTAGTTTGTACTTTATTTTTTACTTTTATAGGATCATATGGGTAAATAGGTTGTTTTGGAGTGTAACTTAAATCAATTTGACCGAATGTTATAAATAGAAAATGTATAGATATTTCGTAAATATACTTGTATAATATGTACATTTATTAAGAAATAACTGAGTGTGTAATAGTATGTTTTTTAGGTTTACAAGTAAATATTTCACCTAGGACCGCTCACAAGCGAAACAATTTCTCCCACTTGTAACTTTTTTCGTGAAATAAATAAGTTATAAAACCTACGCCCATAAAAACTGGTGACGGGCTGGCTGGCCAGTCTGACATCAGTTATATGGTTCCCTTCATTAGATATAAATTATGTGTTGTCGATAGGTACTAAGTAGTAAAAAAGGTATCAAAACTTTTTAAACTTTCATAATCTGTGGATCCGTATATTCACACGCTCATCTGAATGTATGTTACTGTCGTGCTAGCTCCTTTTATAAACAATGTTAAAGTCAATGAGTCAGAGTTTGAAATAAAAGCAACTAACACTCTTTCGGTTTCATTTTGAAATAGACTTGCTTGCGCAATATTTTTTTATAAACTAAATCTTGTTATAAAACAGCGCGGCAACGTTAATAATTATATCGATTTGCCGTCAAACAAACACCTAACTCTTTCAATTATAGTTTTAACCTCTCTGAACACAGTATTTGTTTTTCTTTTGTTTGCTTATAAATAACTTGTGAATTTTAACAACACTGAAATATCTCAGGTATTCTCTCATTTCAAATGTGTTTGTACCAGTGGGCCAACTGAAATGAGTTAGCCGTCAGAATAGAATGGTTAAAATTGTTTAGTTCACAGCATTCGCGAAATGTAAGTAAATCATGGATGGATGCGAGAAGCCCAAAATGGATCTAAGTGGCGTGCAATGGGAGAGGCCTATGTCCAGCGGTGGACTGCGATAGGCTGATGATGAAGTAAATCATAACGAATATGTACCTAATATTATTTAACGTCCGTTATATCGTTACTCAGTAAAATAACTTGCTGCATTGTTTATTTAGGTGCATTTTATTGTTAAAAGATATATTTAAATAAAACAATAAATATACTTACTACTTTAATATACTCGTCTTTGGCTGATCTGAGAACTAGCCAAAATAAATATTTTAACTATTTCCAGGTATTACTTTATAACTAATAGACCCCATTATTTAGACTTAATTCCTTTTAATGACGTAGTTCAACATAGTTTTGGATTTTGTGGCAAGCTAAAATGTCGAGTGGGATTATTTGGTAGAAGTTTAATTTGGGTTTGTAGTAAAGGATTTCGTAACATTTGGTCCAAAATAATCTTAAATAAGCTTAATTAATCTTTTAATATCTAGAAGAAATTAGGTAACTAACTTTTTGAAAAAAAACGTCAAAAGAGACTTACGCTAGCAACAGACTTTAGCCTACATAGGTGAAATTAACTTAAAAAGTAAATAATATGTGTAGTGTACTATTACGCAAGTGTTATTTTTATTTGTACGCAAGGTGTAAGCACATATATTAATGTAATTGCTTGTAAGTGTACACTCGACTGACTTAATGCGTCCGAGCAGTGTCTAGACAGTCGATAATAGAACTATACCACGAGGAATACTAAGGAGAAATTTTTAACTATTTCATTTTGCCAAGATTATGTTTACAGTATTGAATTATTTTAGTAATGTCTGGAATCGTGTTTGTAGTATCGTGACTTTTGATTAACACTACATATTTTTTTCAGTAGTCTTTTGATGAAATTTACTTGATTATATTTTGTGTACCGCAAAACACACCCGCAGGTATTCTATAAAAATAGTGTTTTTTTTCTCAAAATAATCCATATTAACCTAATATACCGGGTGTACAAATACACGCCGAAATCGCTAAAAGGACGTAACTCCAGCATGAATGTACAAAAAATAAAATAAAAAGAACTATCCGGTTCAAAGGTATCCATGGCCGTTTTTAATTTCCACGTATTATTAGCTCAGATTCTTATAAAAGCGGATAGAACATATTACGTTAAAAATTTCAAATCCAATATATGTTTTTATATTGTAATTATTTAATACATGATTGAGAAAATCCGTAAGAACTAACTTCAAAAATTATACAATGTTTTTTGAAATCGCTTTTTATGGTTTTTCTCAATAATGGATTAAACACTTCCCCACTTTCACTTTACACATTTTACCTGTTCTCGTATGAGAAACAAGAGTGATAATATCTGAAATTGAAACGATCAGAACTTTTTAAATGAAGAGTATTTTTCAAAAATTAATTGCCAAAGACAATCCTGTATATATTAACATAAATGCACGTGTTTTATATGTACATTTTTATATGCCAGTGTAATACGATCTTGGTTTACCCTACAAGGATCAACCCACAGAAAGAGTAATGGTTCTGTCAGCCTATGTACTTACATAAGTATACGTATGTATAAACGAAAATACTCGTATACTTCTTATACCTACACGCACATTCAACTTAAATTAAAAAATATAAGTAAATACTACAGGTACTTTAATATCTGACCGTTTTTTCCTGAAACCTGAATCACTTATTTTGATTTTTTTAAATGATTGATTTGATTTTTTTGATCAATAAATAATTTATCTTTTATCTAAATGCAAAGGTTCCAAATTAACAATTTTTATTACTCCATTTACTCGCATAATGTGTTTATTCCGTTTATCCGATCATTTGAATTTTTAACTGAGCTTTTATACTCTGGTTCCCTGTGGCCCTGCTCGTGTCATCCGTTCTGGTAACAATGAAGTTACAAGTATTCTTCACATGATTTGTTTATAACTCAAAACTACATGTTTTTTCTTTTTTAAAAGACAACTCCCGCATTAGGAATATATCCTGTGTCGCGGGGACTTTACAAACTTACATGAAACGGACACAGAGAACACCCAGACTTAGAACAACAATTTGTGGATCACACAAAGTGTCGTCCCATGTGGGGATCTGACCCACAACACTCAGCGTAGTAGTGAGCGGCGTGGCGACCGCTTAAACCAGTTCGCCATCCGTGCTTTTTATTGTTAACCAATATTAGTCTGAATTCTCATTGTATACAGTTAATAGTTAAATAAATATACATCGAATACTTACCTGTATCTTTTTGGAGCCTTTTTAATTTAACTTTCCTATTTAAAAGTTTATCTTTCTGCACTCCTACGTATTTTATAAATTATAGGTACTTCAACCTCTACTTTCCTCCGCCCGCGTCTGCGCTTAAAATGGGTTATTGATATTGTATGTAGATTCTAGGAAAAAACTTTTACTGATTTGGTATCTCAAGTGTTAACATTTTTTTTAATAACTACGAGTATTACGAGTGTTTTGTAATACATATACCTTCTTTCTAAGGAGAGGCTTATGTCCAGCAGTGGACTATTAAAGGCAGTTGATGTGTGATACGGATAACTCGATAGCCAGTCGTGATGATGTCTTAACTCTATCGTTCTACTTATATAAGAATCGAACAAAGTCAGAAAATACATAACACTGCAATAAACACCTTGGTTTCCACATTTCATGTTAGAAATTTAATAACTGGGTCATTATTTTGGTAATCAATTTTAACAAATACATAACTAACTTTTTTTAACCGTGTTTTTTAGAACTCGTGTGATATATTTAAGTAGCCGCCTTATATTATTCTTCCGAATAGTTATGTGTGACCTATACTATTATCAGAAAACTCAAAATACGATCAGTATGCACGTTTTATGATAGTTACAGGAAATGGCCGGCCTTTGTCATTTGTTTGGTTACGCCGACGCCTTAACATCGATCACTCGTTGGGCTAATAGCTTAGATAGAAAAGCACTCTAGCCTCATTAATGATGGTACAATAGAAAGTGAACGGATACTCTGTAATTTTTAATTATTTTTTTATATACTTATTGTTAAAAAAAACTATTTTTCAACCTTTGGAAATCTCCTAACTTCCATACTCACTGTTATACGCATTTAAAATATATGTTCGTTGGAAGCAGCTCATTTAATTGTAGTTTTTGCCAACTTTCTTAAAAACTTAAAGCATTTTTGATAACCGCTTTATTAATACTTAAAAATTACTTATACGAACTATACTATAACTTAATAATTAAATTAAATTCTTTAAATATTACCCGAGACAATAAAATTAAAATGTATGTGCTCTCATGAATTTTATTTGCTGTCGATCTTCTACGTTCAAAATTACTGTAGTTTTCGTAATAGATTATTAATTATTTCTGAGCCTATTTGTAGGTTACACTTAAGAGAAGGCTGGACTTAGGACTAGTAGGATTTTCGGTAATGATAGTTCTAGTACCTTCTTAAAATATAGAATTTTGCCACTCAAGCTTTTCAATACAAGATCTACATCGAACTTCCCCACTTCAAAAAATCATTAACATTTTTCTTCAATTGATTTTTAACTATCATTTTATTTACAGGTATTCGATATTCACACAGCAGTAGTACTAGAACCATCAGGTCCCATGATACTCTATCACGTGGATTCTGACGAGGAAGGACAGCTGTACCAGATAAATTTCTGGGTGCACGCAGTAGTAATCAAGTTGCTACCATGCTGCATTCTTACTGTTATCAGTCTTTGGTTGATCCGTGAAGTTTACAGCGCGAACCAACACCAGAAAAAAATTCGTGTGTATAACAAATGTCCCACGAGTAACAAGACAGTAAAAAGACAATGTAAGGCCGATAGGCGAATGAATAGAACTACAAAAATGCTGGTAGCTGTTCTACTACTGTTTCTCGTCACGGAACTACCGCAAGGGATCCTTGGCCTTCTGAGTGGATTGCTAGGAAGATGCTTCTTCAAGAGATGTTACGATCTTTTCGGAGAGTTGATGGATGCTTTGGCACTGCTAAATGGAGCTATAAACTTTGTACTGTACTGTTCAATGTCAAGGCAGTTCCGCATGACGTTTGGCCAAATGATGTGGCGAGCTCATTTACACCGGTGGCCACCACCAACTGCTTCGCACTCAGACGGATTAAACACGTGAGTAATATAACCATTGTATAGGCGTTTATTTATAGAAACAAAAATAGCACGGCCGGAGGTGTAATACTCGGTTTTCGTAAGACGAACAAGTTTATACTGTTGGTAATGGGATTGAGTTCTTGGGTATTATATTTATATGTTACAATGCGATTTTGTAAAAGGAAGTAATATGATTTTGAATAAATTTATCACTCGATAAGACATCTATCAAAAACACCACAAGTCGCTGTTTTTACTTTTTTATTCTGGCGTCAAGTCTTTTCAATTTGTCTGCGTAATTTGTCTCTTAGTGCACACCCATTACGGCAATATAATTTTATCATGAACATGATTGATGTGTAGCAAGAACTTGCTTAATAAATTGGGGAAACTTATAGAGAGACTTACCAACGATGGGTAGGCATCTAGTAAATAATTAGATTAATTTTTAAATGTGTGCAAATACATCGAACTAGATATATGGAGACAACAATAAATTGAATTAAAAAAATGATTACTGTTAATTTAACCACAAATCTTAATTTTGAGAAGAAAATAGGCTACGGAAAACATAATACTGCATATTATTATGAGTACCTACACAATTTTACTCATGCCTTGTCCTTGTTTGTGCTGTGCAGAGAGATATTTCGTATTTATTTGTAGTATTTTTCAATAATACTACAAATAAATACGCTACTGCATCCCTTAAGGGTGCATTTACTGTTTACTGTCCGGTGGTGACGGATTAAGAATATGGAGTGTCACCACCCTATTCATCCCGTGGGTGTCGTAGGACTAAGGGCGCAAAATACGCAGGACAAAAGCACTGCAAAGAGAAACTAGGCCAAAATCCTCATTTCTAAGGACAGGCCTATGTCCAGCAGTGAACTATTAAAAGCTGGTGATGATGATGTTCATGATGATACGCTTTACTTTTTTTTTAATGTCAAGCTTGAGAGGATGTGTTTACTAGCTCCTCAAGCACCAACTTGCTGTCTAACAGAGGTATGAGATGCTCAGAGCATCAAAACACGTAGAAAACATTAGTCTTTAAATTTGTTTATTTATAATAAATACTCATAAAAATATAGAATTTGATATGATTTAATATCGGTTATGTTCACAAACCGCACCTTTTATGTTTTACGTATTTTTCTGTGTAAGCTTTTCACAAGCTACACTAAAAAATACACTCTAATTTATATTTCCAAACGCGTCTTACGAACTATAACTACAAACATTAAAGACCCTGATAGATTTTTATTACTTCCTGCTTTAAAATAGGAATAAAATATTGTGCTAAAATTACATTTGTTACAACTATATGTTGTTGTTCAAAATGTTAACAAACGAAGCAGTAATTATTATTTTCATTTGATTGCTCGCTGTTACTCTAGAGATCAGCCGTGATCACCCAAATCTGAAAGCATTTGATAGTTATCCACACAAGGACACTATCCTTAAAAAAATGTACACCTGGCGAAATTGTTAGATATGTCAAAGAATTTTTCCTACCAGCTTTACTAATTTTACAAAATTAATCAATTTCCGTAAGCATATTGGATGATCTATCTATTCTCCTTCTTATCTAAATATCTGCGCGTATTTTTATTACCTCGATACAAAATTTGATTTCAAAATTCAATTGCTTGATTTAAACTAAAAGATGATTTTACAGAATCACAATACTGTGATTTGTGTGAACTCTGATTACTGGAGTGATAAAATGAGTAGGTACCAACAAAACTCTTTTTTTTTTGTTATCACATACTTAATTACAACCAATGTCCTCTTATAATGCTTTTCAACAAATAATTATATGCTCTAATAAGTATGAAATAGTTATGTTATAAAGATTAGAAGATATAAGTTAAGGTTTATAGAATTTGTTAATTAAATTTCCATGCTTTATTGTTAAAAAAAAGCTCACATTCCATAAACAATGAAAATTGCATGTACAAAACGAGCGAGCTTATCCAGTACTTGAGATCTTTGCTAGCAAAGCTTTTGAGTGGAAAGACGATATTAAAGATAAAAATAGTGCAAAGCAGTTTGTACGTAAATATAATAAAAAGAAGGCAATAGCTATCAAAAATAATAACTTGCTTGTACAGTACAGTACAGTAACAGTAAGCGAACGACTGATAAGCGTACTTGTACTTATATTCCTAAATACGTCCAAAACTTATATGTATAGGTAATCTTAATCCAATTTTAATCAGATTATCAGTGATTCTACCAATTTGCATAGCGCAAATAGATATTGCTAATACATAGTGATTGATCGATTATTAGTATGAAGTAGTCACGAACAAAATAATGATATATTTCAGATCAATTTAGGTTCTTTAGAACACACTCTTTTTAAAGAGTATGAAATAATTTTTCCTAACAATGTATCATTTTCTTTTTCAGTGCGAAGACATCGATACCTTGAGGAAGGTTTGTACAAGAGAAACATGCCAATGTTTTGCAGCATTTCCTGTAAATACTAATCGTCATGCCAAAGTTTTTAAGGACTATTAAATAGTTTCTAAGTGATTATTTATTGGAGTATTTGTAAAATTACTGTATCATTACTTACTATCAGGGGTTAAAGTATGAAATTGCCGGTTTGTACTGAAACTTTTTAACTCTTTTTTTCCTAAATAGTCAGAAGTTCATTTATGCCTTCACGGTAGAGCTCTGGGAATCTAGATTCGACAAACTGTGTGAAAGCATTGTTCAAAGTTTAGCACAGTAAACATCTGCTGTTATTGCCTGACCAGACCTGAGAAAGCTATATTGAATAACACCATGAAGAGACCACCAACCAGTTACCATTACCTTTTTATTGCTAAGCTTTGCTTTAGGGCACTTTTGTGGCGTTAAACCTAGGGTCAACCATTGCATTTTTCGCTCACGGCTATCGTAAGCTATCCACTTTTTATCACATGCCACAGTTCGATTCAATATTCCTTCATTTCTGTACCGATTCAACAAGTTTCAACACGCATTTCTTTCTGCAGATCAGTCAAATCATGAGGCACCCATTTTTCATATTTTTTATCTTATTGATTTGATGCAAATGAGTCAACATCAATCTAAGTGGCGTGCAATGGGAGAGGCCTATGTCCAGCAGAGGACTACGATAGTCTGATAATGAGTCAACATTGTAGGTAAGGTAACGTTACACCATGCCGTTAATTCCTGGGTAGTTTGACTCGGATCGGTTTCCACCATCTCCTTCAATTCAGCATTATTCACCTGTGTGGGTCTTCCGGTCTTCCACGTGGTTTGTCCTTCAAGTCGAAGTTACGTCCATTACGAAAGCGTTTAAACCAAAAACGCACGGTGCGTTCATTAGCAGTCTCCTCTCCAAACGCAGCGTTGATATTGCGAGCCGTTTCTGCCGCGTTAGTTTCGTGTCGAAACTCGTATTCAAAAATGACTCGGTATTTATCTGTCACGTCTAAGCTGAATAAAAAACATTTGAAGGTCGAAAATCCAATGTTGGTCATTTTTTTAAAAGGAGAACCTCATAGGTATCATGTGAAAAAAGTTTCACACTAAAATCTCACAATACGAAGGTTTTATGTCAATTCTTTTTTTTATTTTTTTATGGTCATAAGGGGGCAAACGAGCAAATGGGTCACCTGATGGTAAGCAACTACGCCGCCCATGGAACCTGCAAATCAAAAGTCACAAGTTCGTTGCCGCCCTTGAAGTCCCTCCCACTCGAGTCAGCGGGAGGGGGGATTTGTGCTCCGGGAACCTCAATCACTCAGTGAAAGGCAACGAAAGAATTGCTTAACACCGGTTTTCTGTGGGTCCGTGGTATCACTCCGGTCGAGCCGGCCCATTCGTGCCGAAGCATGGCTCTCCCACGGTAATTCAAAGTATCTTTTACTATACAACAGCAATTTCATACTTTAACCCCTATTATTTATATTACTAGTAATTAATTATTTTCGTGATAGCCATATTTTTAATACCCTACATATTGTAACTAGTAGGATACAGTCAATATAATTGTTAACAATGTATTTCTATTATTAACTTATTTTTGAATGTCGAAAAGAAAACTTTTAAGAGAAATGTGTGACACTTTTAATTGATTTAACTATTAACTTGAACCTGATTATCGATAAAAGTGAAAATACTACATGTAAGAAATTGAGCATCATGATTATTGTAATATTTACCAAACAATTACATAATACAGAATTTACTTACTACAGTATACATTGCAAATATAAACACATTTGTGTAAAATGTAGTATTTAAAAATGTAAAATATTCAGTAAACTTCCAAGAAATGTTAGTTACGCATTAATGCAGATGAAATCTAGTTTGTAAGTGTAATAAATACTCGTGTAAAGTATCTGCATTTCATGGTGGTTATTTTTCAAAAACTACTTAATAGAAAATAACAAAAAACAGACGATTGACGTCACTCACTTGAAATGTGTTTATCGAATTCCAATTGAATGAAATATTTATTTTAGTCTAGTTAACATGTATCCCATTTTTGTATAAATATATTTTTATTTACGTTTCTGTGGACTCCATTACTCACCTCATTACTGTCAATGTAACAAGTGTGATTGATATGCCATATCATCAATGTGTTTTAGAAATCTCTGAATTAAAACTTAAAGCTCTTAAACTTTTTTTATGGTTTGCTTTATTGAAATGGGTTTTTACAGAACTAGGTTAGCGACTGTTGTAAGCTGTTACTCCTATTACGCTGGCACTACAACGATAATAAACGAACGGCTAATAAACGACGTTACCTGTATTTAATGTGCATTATGTTTCGCTCGTGGATATATTAGCGAAAATGTATGATGTTTATACAATATAAAAGTGATCTAATACTATAAAAATATGTTGGTTCGATGGCAATAAAGATCATTGTAAATTGTAATTCGACTTTTCACACTTCCTCAGAGACAAAGATAAACAAAAGTGAAGAACTTATGAAAAGACACTCAAGAAATCCTAAGTAAGCAACGTTTCTCATTCAAACTTGACTTCATAACAAAAATGTTCTTCCAATGTGAAAAAAATCGTCTATTTATATTATTGTTGCCAAGAATTTGTAATACATGTCTGAGGAACAAACCCGACAAGACTGGGCAATACTGATCATGGTTTGATGAAAGATAATATGATCGCACTTATGAGTAATGTATGAGTGAAATTGTCTGAATCATTGTTAATTGTCATTGTCTTTGCTTTGGGACTCGAGTCTAAATAGATTGAATTAATAAATATAAAGTAAATTTTGCCAGTATATAAATTTAAGTTACAATTATTATTATTTTTATTATTCAAGTCAGATCATATAACCCGCCCCGCGTCGCTCCCGGTGCAAAGGTGCCCATGATACTGGCAGCATTGCCTCGCTGAATTGCAACGAACATTCTTTGCACCAGAAACGAGCCGGAGCGGGAGTCACCACTTTTATCCCTAACTCGGCGACCAATCTCCGCAATTAACTTTTTAGCTTCCGACCCAGGCTTCCGAGCTGTGCGGAGTCTTGGGCAATCCGCATGAATTGCCGCCAGATACTTGCCTCAAGTAGTCGGTCCAACGTGCCGCAGGGGCGTCAACACTACGTTTGCGTAATTGCATTTCTACTCTTGCATATGTCGGCTCTAGCGACCATGAGTCCATCTGGAGACATCACCGGCCTACTTCCATTTTAAAGTACTTATTTTCCATTCAGTGTCGGTTACTATAGTTCTCTGTCGTTTCGAATTTTATCGACCAGAGAACCACCCAGCATCACACGCTCTATCGCACGCTGAGCAACACAAATATAACTCTTAAATATTTCTGTTTATCTTATTATATTTTTATTATCTTTATCTATTTGCAAGCGGCTAAGTAGACAAATAAATGGTATCTCAGTAAGAGTGCACTTTTAAAATTTAGAATCATTTTATTTCGTGCAAGTGGCAACTTTGAAAATTGACAGCTGTCGCCTATGTTTATGCCGATTATTAAAAATGGAGAAAAAAAAAGAAAGAACAACGCGTTAAAGTTGTGAAAACTCATTCCAAAAAAAAAACCGGGCAGGTAAGAGTCGAACTCGAGCGCCGAGCGTGCCCTATCTACCCAGACTTTACGTAGATTTTCGCGAAAATTTGTGAGTACCAAAATTTATCTTAATTTTCAACTTTTTTTATTTTTTGGAATTATTCCTTTATTTGTGCTGTAAGACGTTTCTTTTTACCAAATTTCGTGATTCTAGGTCAACGGGAACTATAATATAGGTTTTCGACCCAAAACCTATAGGGTACTTCCGGTTGAACTAGAATTGTCAATTTTGGTTAAAAGCAAGGCCTTACCTTAGGAAAATTCAGAAAAATAAAAAAGTTGAAAATTAAGGTAAATTTTGGTACTCACAAGTTTTCACGAAAATCGAAATTTGCCAATATCTTTTTATCGTGTTGACTCAGGACCTTGATTTTTATACATTCAATAGGGACCATAGACCTCAGTTACTGTTAAAAAAATTCAACTTGCTAGGTGTACCGGTTCCTGAGAAAGTCGGTGGTGACACATGGACAGACAGACGGACAAGAAAGTGATCTTAAAATATTTTTATTTTAAACTGAAAAAGTGCACTCTTACTGAGACATCCTTTACTATAGAATTTCACACTTTGCCGACTATCTTAGCTTAATTTTACACCAGGTCTATTAAAATCGGTAGCAATCGGCAGTTCTGCAGGCTCAGAGGCAAGTTTTTTAATATTTTCTATAACGACAGTAATTTAGAAAAGTAAAGTCTGCTTAATATTTTATTATACATTTCAGTAAATTACTCTTTACATCTTTTGTGGGCTCCTCACGAGGTGTAAAGTATGAAAAAGAAATGTTATACTCGGTGTTCAAAGATTTTCCTAGTCTAGGAGGACTGTCTTGTTAATTAATATTATTATTATAAAGCTTACAATACAGTTAAAGTAGTAGTAGTAGTCAGTCTAATCGACGAATATTTATAACGGGTCTCATGAGAGACTTATTTGCTGAGATGCGGTTAAATCTTTTTAAGTTTGGTTAGAGCGTCATCATTTTTGGCAATAAAAACGTTATGTAACGTTTGTCGCCTATTTAAACTGCTCTATAATAGTAGTCTCTATTTTGAAGTTTCAAGGTTGTTTTGACCAGTTCTATACTTTATACTATATCAGGAATAATTCGAAATAAATTTTACTCCAACTTCTATTGAAACTGTATGTCTGCCATTCTTCGAAATTGCAAACGACATACGAGTAAAGTTTAGATTTGTATAGAATTCTTCTTATTTTGACAGTACAATATTGCATATAGCTCTAATTTGCTTACCGGACGAAATGGAAGTGACTTTGTTTAACCCTTACGAAGAAAAACGTAGTTATTACCTATGTGTGATTGTTGATGATTTCAACATGATGGGTGGTAC